TAGAATCTTGATAGCTTCGGCTATATTTCTTTAGTTAATATTGGTTTTAGTTTATTTCTTAGTCTCTTAAGTTCAAGCCCAAATGTCGGCTTTTATTGTACACTCCAAGACGGAGTTTTGTTAAATCTTATTGGAATAATAAAGGGTTAGTTACCCTTCAATCTTGTTGTTTCTTGTTACATGAGCTTAAGCGATTATTCGCTAACTAGTTCTTAAGATTCGTCACTTTCTACAGTAACTGAGAAATACACTAGTGAGAATCTTACAAGGTATTATATTGTGATGTATTTTACGATGAATTTTTTCATTTGTTATTTAATAAAGTTTACTTGAACTCAGAAGAGTTTTTTTATATATCAAATGAAACCCCTTTTATCACTAATTCAAGACTATCAGAAATTGAGAGGATAACTAGCAATTTGTAATTTGGCATGATTTTAAATCTTGGCAAACTACCTAGCAGCATGGGAATTTTCATGGTATGTAATGTGAATAAGAACCTGTTTTCTCTTTAAGGGAACAGGTTTCCCTTTTCACATCACACACTAAGAAAATTAAACTTTAATCAGTCTTTCACAAAAAATATCTTCAAGAAAACAAATGTTCTGCCCTTACTTAAAATACCTACTTGACTCAACGAGAGGCAGTCTTTAGGCTGTCATTAAAAAAAGGCTATTAATTTTTCGAAGTCTATGAGACAGTTTTGAAACAAATGACAGATAGAATATCGATAACAAATAAAATTTCAAAAGATAAGAACTGAAGACTAGTTCCTTCTTCAAGAACGTGGGATCTTAAAACAATCTTTCAAAGAAAGATTTTTGAAAATGTGTTCGAAATTCGAAATTATGGGCAAATTTATTGTATTGCATTTTTATTGCTTATTATACTGTCGTACGTTTACACGTTATTAATTGGTGTGCCTACATGGAAGAAGCTACATAATAGTTGTCTTAAATTTAATTCACTCAAATACCAGTTATTGTTTATTTTTCACTGGAAATAAACTGATTTACTTGTAGAATATGTCGTTGCTTTAATTCAAATATGTTTCATAGTAACATAGCAATCAGTTTGCCAGATTTCAAAAGTAACCTTATAATGGACGAATTTTATCGGCTGTATAGATTTGCGGGAGAAGAATATACGGCGTGTCCACAAAATTGCTTATGCAGGTTTTAATTTCAAAATCAGGTATCGTAAAAACATGCTTCTAATTGCAAATGTTTTAAAGAAGAAAAATAACTAGGTCTTTGAAGTTTAAAAATTAAATGTAGGTTTATAAAAATTATGAAATCTAATTTTTATATCTTCCCCGCATATGCATAGTTATGTTTACTAAAAATTCACCAAAATATATAAATTAAAAAAAAAAAAAAAAAAAAAAAAAAAAAAAAAAAACTTCTATACAGCAAAACTGGAGCCCGACATTTTAAGCCTAAGATGATGTATTCTGAAAACTCAGTGTTCGTAAGCAAATTCAAGCGTAAAATATAAAATTGTATGCAACTAAAAATACGAAAAAGACTTTAAATGTTAACATATCAAGTCTTAAACATATCTATGCAGATTTTAACGAAATTCTTTTATCAATGAAAATAATTTCATGACGGAGATCTCATTCACAGAATCATACAGAATTTCTGGTGCAGAGACTTTGTCAATAGGGCATGTTCTAGCGAAAGGTTTCACACATTGGTACATAGCCATACCATTATAAATATAAAATTAAAAGTGAAAAATATGTCTAGTCTAATACAATTTTTTGTATGACTATTAGATTATGGTTTCAAAGTTAATCTCGATAACATTTGGAAACATATACATTATTTCGGTAAAATCTTTTCAGAGAATAAAATATAAAAATTTGTAGATTAAAGAGAAAATCACATTAGCAAATCATTAAGATATATTACCGAATGGCATTAAATACACAAAAATAAATCTAAATCAAAATATCATAATTTATTTTTTAACCGACCTCAGAAGCTATAAAATATTTCAAATCTCAAGGTATTGAGATTTGAAATTATTCGAAAGATTTCGAATATTATATGTTATTTTCTTGATATAAGTTGAATTTATGAGGGCATTTTATGATATTTTTACGACTCCGAAATAATAAACTTTGTGAGTATTATTGTTTACATTTATAAATACTGTTTAATAGTGGTATATAAATGTATGAGTAACATTGTTTACATTCATACATGCTGTTTAATAGAGGTATATACATTTTACTTAAAGGAATTATTAATTCTAAAATACTGTATTGTGAATAAAATCGAAATAACAACAAATTCAACTTCATCTTTTCCCTCCCCCCCCTGACCTCTCATATAATTATGGCTTACCTTGCCAAAGCGCGAGAAGAGGATTTAAAAACTCTCGCTGCAGAACTGGGTTTCACTGTAAACGACACTATGCGAGTAATAGATCTTAAAGATCTTATTGTCAATTCTGACACTTATGATAAGGCTTTTACCAGGAATCTTCTGGAAACTTTAATCGAAACTAGACAACAAAAACAACGTGAAGAGTTGAGACACGAGTCAAATATTTTGTCTTTATCTTTTAGAAATGAGTGTAAAACGTTTTTAAATGTTTCTGTATAAACTGGAACATTGGTTCAAAATCTAGACTTGGTAAAGTTTTTAAAAACTCATTACTTAAAAAAAAAAAAAAAAAAAAAAAAAAAAAAAAATAACATGAATATTTACGTCAATTTTTTTTTAATAATAAGTAATGTTTACGACCAGTGATGGCAAAGTAGAAAGTCTGAATAAGGAATTTTTTGCACGCATATATGCGCACGTTAAATTTATGTTTTTATTGGAAAGTTCCTTATTTATTTTTAAAGTTAGAAATCTGGAGTAACAAGATATTTGAACCCTAATTTGGTTTAATTTGTGCTCTTCATTAATTTTCACTCTTCATCTGCAATTATATTTCTTGCTTCATATTACATATCTGATACTTATTTATATTCTGGAATTCTAGCTAAATTAACTTGAACTGTGAAGGAACTATTCGCTAAGTTCAAACTGCATCAATGACAAGACGTGAGAAGAGTGAAGAGAGACTTTTATTCAACTCAAAAAGTAATTTACAGACGGCCCTTCTAGTGCTTACAAACTTAGACAATATATTTGGTTGCAACACAAAATAGAAATGTAAAATACAAACTAAGTTAAATAATCAGCCGAAGCTGCTCAAACATAATTAACGCGAGTTGGCTCTTAGCCCTACCTGACGTACACAAACCAATAATTAATATGCACGGCCGTAAAATATGAAGCTTAAATCAACGAAACAACAACTCAGACACCAGATTAAATACCAGCTTTCTAAATTACTTTGCATAATACACGAAACTGAAATAACATACTAGCAGTAAATGGAAATGAGGGAAGATAGAACAGATAAGTAACTGAACAAAAAAGAACTGGTTAGTTTAAAACAAAATAATTACTTACAATATGAAATAAAAGTCAAAATGAACAAATCTTAGTAATCTAATGATCTGACATTTCAGAATATTATATACAGATAAAGTAATATGCTTCATTATTTTTAATGATATCGTTTCATACAAAATGAAGCATATCGACTGAGAAAAATTGTTTAATTCCATTAAAAATGCGGCAAAAGATATTTTTACGTCTTTCATTATTAATATTTATCTGAACATACTTTGAAAGATTTAAATTCAGTCTAATGTAATTTCCAAATTATATGTCGTTTGTTTTATTGATTTTTATTTTCTGATATTGATTACTCTTTCGCAATTACTCAGAGAATTTTAGTGAAATATATTTAAATTTCCTCATACGTGCGAAATGCACTAATATTTTGTTCCGATTTCATATTTCAAATATATAACAAATAATTTTCTATTATAACTTTCTCTTACTATGAATATACGAAATGATATAAGTATAAACAATCAATCCATAACATAACTGCCCGAGTGTTTTATGATAAAAGAATTCAAGATGGGTTTGCTAAGAAATAGTCTTTAGAAGAGCCACACCCGGGGCGTTGTTAAAGTATTGTCTTCCTTCAACTGGGAAGTCAATACTACATCATTGTCTCGAGTGGAGAATGAAGAGCAAGACTTCCCTCTGTGAGTTTAAGGGCTCTCACTTGGACATCCGATTAAAGATAAGAACTTCGATAAGGGTCCTACAATGATGCTTGCCTATAAATGGTAGATAGAGGTGTTGAATATCTGAAAATTAGGTGTTTTAATACTTTTAAAACTTTAACTCAAATTGCCTAGTGGTGCCGGACAAAAACTCAAAAAATATAATCATATGAATATTCATATATCATATCGAATAATCGTATAAACAATCGTATAGTGGTAGTACAAATTAAATTTTAGGTTCGCGTTGTGAGTAACCTATGCAAAATGAAAATCAATAATCCAAATTCAATTAAAGCTCCATGTTTCTTAAAAGCCTACCGGCTCAAACAGATGGAGTGACATGACAGACAAAAGTAAGTTAACACACAAAATAAACAAGTGCAATTAAAATTCTAAATCAAACACATTTATTAAATTCTTGAAAATAATAATATTATTAGTAAATACTTGGGTAACTGATCAGTATCCCCTACAACATATTTTTACTATGAAAATATCACATCTGTCACACAAAATTTCAGCTTACAATAATTAAAACATTTAATTAATAATTAATTTTTTAACAAACTAAGAAGGTGTAACATATTTTAATTCTCCAAATAAATGGTTCTCATTAATTAGAAACTAACATTTTCTCACTTACAAACTCAGTAGGTGAAACAAATTTTAAACATCCCAAAACTGGCCATCACTTGAAATAATAAATCACTTCTCTGTTTTACTAAATGCAATATTTAATTTATATAAGTAATAACAATATAAACAGGTACATAAATCATTATTAACTGTTCCACTACGGCATTTGGGAATAATAAGAGAGAGAGAAAATAATCTTAAAAATTTCACTCACATATTCTTCGGAATACACAACATTGAGGGGCGTGTTCAGTTTTCTTAGTCAAGGAGGAAGTCTATTTCCTTGAGCCAACACTTTGATTACAGTTTAACTAACACTCTCGAGCTAAAGTCCATTCTGTACAAGAATATCTGGTAACGGGATAAAGTCCTTTTTGTGAAACTAACCGCCAGATCAGGGAAAATTTCGTTCTTCAGGAACATATTTTCTGTGTGGAACGTCGTCACACAGAAAGGCGTCAGGAAGCACAAAAGCCGGAAAATAATAACTACACGTCGATCCGGAACTTCCAAGTGTCAGGCATATTCACTTCGGGAATATCAAATTTTAGGGTTCGGAAGAGATTATCCGGGGATTCGGGTGAAGAAGGAAAATCTGTTTTAAATTTTCTTGATAGATTTCCTCTATACATCTCGCACTAAAGTAGTAATCAGTTCTCAGCATCTTTGCAGCGCGCGTACATTTCTCCAGACATCTCGAGAGGAAAATGTTCCTTGCATCTCGCACAAAAACTTTTAAACATTTCGAAAAAAAGAATATATTCTCTAGCATAAAGAAAAACGCAATCCAAGCCATCTTGCTCCGGCAACCGGCAGCACGGCAAAGCCGGCAGCAGGGCAAAACGCCCCTCTTTTTTTTCTTTCACGTCGCCGCTGCTCAAAATCACTCCATATCAGACTCCAAACGAAAAACCATAACCTGAGCCCGCTGGTACACGCCGCTCGCGATAGCAAGACCCGCAAGGGGTCAAGCCGTTCCAGTCTTTTCTCCTTTTTCCTTTTAGCTCGAAAATTAGAATCAGAATGCCATCTAACAAGGTGTAAGCACCGAGGTAAACTCTCGTCTCCGCCCTCCCCTCGAAAATTTCATTGGCTTACAAAAAATCCTAAAATTAAAATCAGACCAATGCCAGAATTACTTAAATAACTAAACTGAGAAAATTACACCCTTACAACGAATCAAAAACAAGAAAAATCTGGCAATGGAGTCCAAAAACACATGTACACACAACGTGGGAAGTAAAGTTGACACCCTAACTAACAAGCGGAAACTAAGCTATACGAAAATCCAATTACCTAAGCTTACTGAAAGAAACATTGCAAATACAACAAAGCGAAAGGAAGAGGATTTTTTGTTACGACGCCATTAGTAAACAAGGCCACCGGCGAAGAAAGCGACAACAACGTAACTGCTTTCACTGTTAGGAAAAGGCCATAAACTAATAAAAGGCCATAACCAACGCTCCTGCAACCGTTTCCTGTCTTTGTTACACTCCCCCGGGGGTTGACTCAGGCGAATGCCTGGGAAGTAGTGGTTAATATCTGTACCTTGGCAAACCGTCTCAACCACCGGGGTATAAAAACAGACTTCACAGAAGGCTCTCGGGTAGTGCTGTAGAAGTAACGAGAAATTGTGTACCCGTATGTATTCGTTACTCGGTGAACTAGTACTCGTTACTATCGTATCGTTACTCGTTACTTCCGGTAAAATCCATCGGTATTCGTATCCTGAGCCTATTTTATCGGTATACGGCCCTAGGGATCGGTGTACTGCCCTATGCGATAGGGAGTTTTACGTCGTATTTTTGGATGGAAATAATTCACCTCTTTTTGTGGTGTCACAAAAGTCAGAAGTCAAAAGCGCCTACGGAAGGCCGTCAGGAAAATAGGGAAAAATAAAATAAAATATAAATAAATAAATTAATTATAATTACAAATAATAAAAATTATAACATAATTACAAATTATAAACTAATTAAAAATTACTTAGTAAAAAACTAATAATTTAATAAAAAATATTTTCTTATTTTCCCCCGTAAGAATAATTAAAATTTTCCTTTGCTGTTTTAAAATCCTTTAAATTTTCTTAGAGTGTTTTTTTCCTCATTTCATTCCCCCCAAAGTCCGTTGTTTCCCTTTCCAACCTTTTCTTTCCCACTTCTACGATAAACGTTCTGTTTTTGTTCAAAAAATGGTTTAACCTGATGCTGTTTCTACTTCGACTTAGTTTTTCTTTCTAACTATTTATTTTTTATGCAGACGAATTAATGCTGAGCAGAATGAATTTCAGACGTTTCAGAATGTTGTTTGTATCTAAATATACAACATATTTTGTTATAACACTATCCATTTTTTTAATTTCACACATTTCTAAAGCAACAGAAACGGTATCACTATTTTGGCACACACACCACCAAAAACATTATAAATTAACATTAATGTTACATTCTTTAAAAAGCAATGGGTCCTCTTTAAATTAACCATTTTATGCTTTTAGGATTTTACATGGTGGTCTTAAAAAGTGATGTTCACTACCAATGTTTGTTTATGTTCTCAAAAATACAGATCTCTTAGAAAGTGACCTCTTAGAGATGTCGTAATTAGATGATTTGCTATAATTATTTCTAATAGATAACGGAATTAATGTAATTTAATGTCAATAACTCGAAGAAGCAAGTTTAAATACGTGTGCCAACAAAAATACAGAAGTATTTTAAATGACGAAAACATTCATATTTTGTCAATGTCAAATTTTAAAAAGAATTAATTTTGGACAAATTATGTAATCTAACTTTTAATGTTGTCTTCTGGTTCCTATATTTATACTGGCAAAGTTTTATACTCGTTATGAAAAAATAAAAATACAAGAAGTTTGAGTCCCGTAGACAGAGATTGACCGGGAAATTTAATTTCAAAATTTGCAGTGTTTGATGCCATTTGTAACTTTCCTTTGGGTATCGCTTAATTAAGGGGACTAATATACCTTAAACCTCTCATGATCTTCGAAAATGTGACTGTTGCAAGAATTAGGATATTTTACTTATTTTAAAAGCAATTACTTGCAACGTTTTACAGTTGACTACATAATATAGCTGCTTTGGAAACTAGTAACCAGAAAGTTTGTGTTGCCACAAATATTTTTGTAATTTAATCCTCTTTGTGACAAAATATTTCGCCATGTTTCCACCTTGCGCGCATGATGTTTTAAAAATGGTTAATGTTACATACTTGAAATTTGATGGAATTCTTTATATGGGCACTATTTTCTAACTGAACCAACAATCTGGTGAATATTTTAATACTGAAAAATTTTATGGACGAAAACATTACAAATTTTGTAAAAAAACATTTTATAAAACTCAACTCAAAATAAAATAAAAGTTTAACATGAAATTTTTAGAATTTTAGGTTCACAGTAGTTTCCAAATTTTATAAAAGCTATATATATAAATATGGAATTAAATATGAAAAAGAATGTTTTAAACTGTGCGCGCAAGTTGGAAACGTGACGAAAAAATGTTGTCACAAAGCGGATTAAATTATAAAAATGTTTGGGGCAACACAAACTTTCTGATTACTATTTTAGAAAGCGCTATATTATGTAGTCACTGTAAAAAGTGTAGTAATTGCTTTTAAAATAAATAAGTTATCTCAATTCTTGCAACAGTCACCTATTCGAACATTAGGGTTTAAGGTGATGAGATCCCCTTAAGTAGAATAATTCGAGGAAATAGTTTAAATGAAGTGCAGCAAAAAATAGCATAATTTAAAAAGTTATGCGGTATCCATATCAAATTTCACTTTTCATAATGACAATAAAACTTTCCCAAATACAAATAAAGAAACTGGGTTGGTGTTGGTGTATTTAATTATGGCAAAGCACACTAGGGCCTAAAGGGGGATGGGGATGGGGATGCCTTCGTGGAGGACTTTCTAAGGGAAATGGCTGGTATACACTTTACACATGGGGAAAACCACGAAAACACCCATGCAGCCAGCCCGTTCGCGGGATTCGAACCTCAGACCGAACTACCAGTGTTCAACGACGTTACCGCTCAACCGCTGGTGGGCTAAAGAAACTGGGAGACGCATTAAAGATTAGATTTCGTTATTTGTCCGTTATTCGTTATTTCGTTTGCTGCTTCTCCCCATTCCTTTCATCAGAACCGCTAATGACGAAAGGGTGAATTTCTAGTAAAGCATGTATATTAATGTTCATTATACATTTGTCACATTTTTGCTTTCTTTCAAAACAGCGATAATGTGGTTCTAAACAGCGATAATATTGTTTTAGAAATTAATAAAATGGGCCCTATGTTATAAAAACCTAATTATATTCAGATACACACCTTTTGCACATGTTTGAAATCCATTATTCTAATCAGAATGTCTACAGAAAATATTGAATCAATATTAGAAATCAAAAGCTAAGTGAGAATGAAGTAGTAAGAGTCATATCGTCTAACCTGTTTTAATTGAAGAAAACAGGTGCTTGCTTTATCGTAAAGTGAACACCTGTTTTTCAAACAGCGAAGAGCCCACCAGCGCTCGAGCGGTAAAGTCGCTGAAGACTAATAGTTCGGTCCGGGGTTCAATTCCCGGCTAACGGCTGGCTGCACGGGCGTTTTCGTGGTTTTCCCCATGTGTAACTTGCATATGAGCCAGTTTCCTTTAAAAAGTCCTCCACGAAGGCACATCCCTTTCCAGGCAATAGCCCTAGTGTGCATTGCCGTAACCAAATAATCCGAAACCGAAAAAAAAAAAGGGAATTGGTGGGGGTGAAGGCAGCGACGAAACGTCGTTTTAGAAGAATAGGCTACATAACCAAAATTTCTATCTATACTCTGGTAAAATAATAAAAGTCAAGTAACTTACTTAGTGATAAATAAATAAATAAAATAAAAACCAAGGCTTTTATTTTCGCCTTACTTGGCTTTTATTTTATATTTATATATTTTTCTAATGTTATTAATTTCTGCTTCATTAGAAAAGGGAACTTAGAGTTTAGAAACAGAGATTTTGTAATGTAGGCCTAAAACGTAGATTCCTTCTCTTTGTGCTGGTGTACTAATTGTTGCTCAGTTGTGTTTACACTTGAAATTACGCTAGCAGATTGAGTTCCAAAGATATATTATTTTGAATTTTAAATATCAATACAGTTTCAATATAAAATGCATTATTAGGTTGCAAACAGAGGAAGTTTAGTTTTATGATTTTCCTTATTTGTAAATTTCGAGGTAAAGCATTAATAAATGTTTTAGCTGTATTTGACACTTCCTATGTTACGTTTTACGCGTTTCGTTCTTCTTCTTTTATACTAAACGAATACTTGAAACAGTTAAACACAGACCCATAGTCCACAGAACAAAATTCATAAAGTTCGACAATTGGAGGCACTGACATTAGGAAACGCTGTTAATGGAATGAATTGTTTTGCAGTAATCTTAGTGCAATGAAATGTTTACTTAGTTTACTTAAATACTGATATTAGGGTGCAATTGTAAATAAGGAAAAGTAATGCAAATTATAAATAGATATATGTTATTAATCTATGTTTGCTACCGTACTTTTTAAAGACAAAATAAATTGGGATTCTTGATATAATTATCATGAATACACTTTTTAAATAATTCAATTAAATCAAACATCATCCTGTTACATCATATACCTAAGTTGCAAGTATCTAATAACAATATAGGCATATAAGTATATATTTGTAAGAAAAATGAAGAATATTTAAAAGAATTAATTAGCAGCGTAAATTAATTTCCCTTCTCTAAAAATAGCAACAACTATTTGCATTGCGTCATTTCGAGAAAATTCTATGTCAAAAGAATCTTACGTAATTTCTGGTGATGTAAATTGAACTATTGTAAAACTCAAGCAGCCAATAATAATTTTACAGCAATATTAACTA